TTGCGCTCAACTCTCCGTCGGCGGCACGCAGACCGGCACGCCCAACGCGACAGTCACTATCCCCGGCGTGTACTCGGACACCGACGCGGGTATCCTTACCCCGGACATCTTCAACACGCCCGTTCAGTACATCTTCCCTGGCGGCGCCGTTAGCAGTATGTCGGCTGAGGCCGACAGCGCGGATCTGGCGGACTTGAAGGCTGAGACCACCCTACCCGCTGTGGCTTTCAACGTGCTCTCCGGCAGCAGCAACTCATCGTCTAGCGACTCCTCGAGCGTGGCTTCGTCCGCTGCATCTGCCACTTCCGGTACCGCTTCTCCTACCGCCGTCGCAGGCGCTGCCTCTGCCGCGTCTACCACCGCCGCTGCCAGCAAGTCTTGCAAGGCCAAGACCACATCGCAGAAGAAGCGCCGCGTTCACGCTCGCCACTGGTTCCACTGATCGCCTTCTCTCTCGACGCATTCCTACACCGACGACGCGACACGAACTGCATTTCCGCATCGACCATTTCAACGCATTGTACCATAACCATACTCACCAAACGCACATCATTCTCCTTGGGGGTCCACTCGCGCTACGGTCGCGGGTGGCTTGCTTTGTCACTCACTTCATTCCTTTCTCGGTTTACGTTCTTGTTTAGATCAATTGTAGCCATAGCTCGATGCTGTTGTACTTGTACTACGCACTCGGTACATATCGTTACCATACGTCGCTCTAATGCAGAGTCTTTGCTTTGAGTGAACCTCGTGCGCCGAGCATAACCACGCAACATCGGAACGGAGTGATCGAGTTGCCTCCTGCCGCTGACCACCATGCTCAATTGATGATCAACGACGAACCGCGCGTATGCCGACTGCTTGAAAGGGATATGGACTTGAAGCTTGGAGGGATCTCGAAGAGTGTTACAACGCTCGACGAGCACGGGCCCTTATACTAGACGTTATTGATGCCGTGCAAACATCTCGTTACTCGAGCACAAGGCGGTCGCGAAAGGCTAGCTGTGGCACCGGTGATATGTGTTCACGGTGTTTACGGTGTGCGAGACCGTGTGGGGATGTTTGCAGTTAGCGTTCGCCGTTCACTCGCTGTTTCTCAACGCTGTCAACGAGCTCCACGATGAGCGCGTCGCCTGTCACGGCGCTCATGATCGTCGAACTGACCGTGCATCCGGTCGTGCACGTTGCGTTTGAGGGTTTCGAATACGCGCGTCTCCCGCTCCTCACCCCGTTCCGCCGCTATTGAGAGAGGAGCGTAAGGTACGTATGGAAGTGACACCGGAAGAAGGGACCTGGCGACTGAATTTCCCTAGCGACGCCCTGGCGGCATCCGGTGCATGAGCTCGCCATCTGATGCGGACTACATAAAGCCGCATGGCTCCAACTCTGTTGCTTTTCCCATTCCGCCCTCGACCTTCTCCTCCCCTTGGGCTTGTTTCGCGTTTCCGTCTCTTCTTCTCTCTTTTTATCTCTCGGACGACTCGTCAACTCGGTGTCTCTTGTCGCTCACACGCTTCCAAGCACCCGTCGTTCTTTTATCTTTTCCGAATTACCCGCACACAATGCGCTTCGCCGTTACTCTCCTCGCGCCCCTCGCGCTCTCCCTCCAGGTGTCTGCCCACGGATTTATCCAATGGGCTAAGATCGACGGCAAGACTTACAAGGGCAATGGCGATGGCGGTGATCCTTCAACTACCGCTATTCGTCCTACCAAGCCCTACGATGTTGGCCCGGTCGTGGACGTCAACGACAAGCAGATGAGCTGCGGTCTTTCTCCCGTCAGCAACGCTGCTCTTGTTGCCGACGCAAACGCCGGCTCATCCGTGGAAGTTCTCTGGGGCGGCGAGGGCGGCACTCACGTATGTCCTTTTGATTGCCTTTTTCGCGGTTGATGGCTGAATTTAGCTGTGCAGTGGATCCACGAGGTTGGCCCCGTCATGCACTACATGGCGGAATGCACTGGCGTCGATGACTGCACTACCTTCGATGCCTCGAACGCCAAGTGGTTCAAGATCGACGAGCAGGGTTTGTCGGGCTCGAAGTGGCCGGCGATGGAGAGCCTTTTCAACGGACAGCCTGTCAAGTTCACCATTCCTGAGAACTTGAAGAAGGGCAACTACCTTCTCCGCTCTGAGGTCATTGCTCTTCACCGTGCCAACGTCGAGGGCGGCGCCGAGTTCTACCCGAACTGCGTGCAGCTTAAGGTTGGCGGATCGGGCACCGAGACGCCCAGCAAGACCGTCAAGTTCCCTGGCGCGTACTCCGCTACCGATCCCGGTATCCTTACTCCCGACGTATGTTACTTCCATTCATGTGTCAAGACGTGTGAACATTGCTAAATTCGGATATACAGATCTTCAACCCGGGCTTCACGTACAGCTTCCCTGGAGGTCCCCTCTCTTCCCTCGTCAGCTCTGAATCTTCCTCGTCTGGCTCATCTTCGGACGACGACTCGAGCTCGACCTCCAAGGCGGCTTCCTCTGCGACTGCCAAGGCGTCTGACGCGACCTCGACCAAGAAGGCCGCTTCGTCCACCGGAAAGGCTGCAACTTCTACCGCCGCTGTCGCCGAGCCGACCACCACCAAGGCCGCATCTGCCTCTACCACCAACGCCGCCGCCGCGTCTTCCTCCGCTGCCGCATCGACCAGCACCGGTCGTTGCAAGGCGAAGAACACCCGCCGCCGCGCGGAGAAGAAGCGTCAGGCGGATGAGGCTCTTGCGCGTCGTAACAAGACTGCGCGCGCCCACCACAATGCGCGCATGTTCGGCCACAAGCAGTCCAGCGCGGGCCCGTCCAGGCTCTAAATCCTCGGACCCCCCGCCTTTGCCTCTGCCTCACCCTGCATTGTGTTACTCTCCACCCCCCGGAAGCTTCTAACCTCATCGCTGACTACCACGTCTCACGCCATGATCTGCTGTATCACCACCGCTCTCTGCTCTCTCCGTCCCCCTTCTGACCCCTCCGCATGTTTACGACTCTGGATCGCATCACACACACCTTAACTCGGCGCTAGCCGTCGGTCAACCCTTCTTCGGCTGCGTTTGATATACGTTTGGCCCGAAATCCTCCCTCTGTTATGCTTCACTAGCTTGGAGTGTACCCTTACTATACGCTTGTAGCGCGCGCCGCCGTGCGGCGCTTTTGGCGTCGTCTGCTTGACGGGCGACGTTGTTTGCCGTGCAATAAATCCAGTATATTGTTTTTCTTCGACGTGTGATGAAGGTAAAGACCGCGGACCAGCCGCGCTATTCTGTATCATTAAAAGCGGCATACAAATATAGTCGCAAGTTCTACAGGCTGGCGCGTTCACCAATGCCACGTCCCTCGACGAGGGGCCCGCGCCATACGCAACTCCCGTACAGCCGCAACAGCACGGCCACTCCTGTCCACCATACGCTTCCGCTGTGCAAGTGCGGCAGTACTTGCGCAGGTCGTCTGGCCGGCGGCAGAACCTGACGTAGTGGTAGGTGACGCGAGAGCGTCGGTGTTCTCATCTGCGGGTGTTGTCGTAGCTGCCGTTGCGGGCGATTCCGTAGAGGGCGTAGTGGCCGTGCCATCCGCAGAGAGTTGCGATTCTGCGCTCTGCGACTCGGTGGGCGCTGTGGAGTTCGACCCTCCAGAAGACGTCGCGTTGGACGAATGTGCCTCGGTCGTAGGCGCATCCAAGTCCTGACCTCCTGCCGAGTCAGTGATGGCTCTGATGTTGCTCACGGGTCCACCAGGGAAGGTGTAGTTCACAGGTGTATCGTAGATATGCGGGTCCAGGATACCTGGATCGGTAGCGATGTACGCGCCCGGGAAGGAGACTGTGGCGTTGGGTGTCCCAGTCTTTGAGCCACTGATGGACAGCTGGGCGCATGCAGGATAAAACTCGGCACCGGAGTGTAGAGCGATGATCTCGTTGCGAAAGAGGTAGTTGCCAGCCTTTATATCGGAAGGGAGCGTGACGCTCAGCGGCTTGCCATTGACTGCGATGTCGAAGTCAGTCAAGCGCAGAAAGATATGAGTAAGGCCAAAGGGACGAACAGAAGTTCTCGACCCACCAGGTGCCCGAAGCCTTAGAAGAAAGACCCTGCTGGTCGATTTTGAACCACTGGGCCTTGGACGCATCGAAGGTCGAACAATCGGGTGCGCCCGTGCACTCAGCGAGATAAGTCATGACGGGACCGACTTTGTGAATCCACTACAAAGCTCGTCAGATTTACCGATACGGTCAAGAAGATGGGCCTCTGCTCACGTTCTGAGGTCCGCGGCTGACCCACAGGAAGTCGATCTTACTTCCAGGCCGCGCATTCGCCTGCTTAGGTGCAGGTGTGGCGCTGAGACCGCACGCCATGTCCGGGCTTTGAAGATCTTTGACAAGGATAGGGGACACGTCTTCGATCTGGCGAATGACAGTGTCATTGTTGCCACTAGGTGGCCCGGGCGTAGACTTCAAGTCCGCCCGGTCGGGCAGACCGGCGTATTTTGTTCCATCAACGATGATATAGGAGAGCCAGCCGTGGGCAACGACAGATGGCGCAAGAAGAGAAAGGGCTACGGCGGTGAAGAGTAACATGTTGAGTGGGACGGTATCGAGTCAACGACAGTGAGTACGAGGAGACAGAATAACGGGGCGCGGACGCACTCGTCAAGAGCAGTGTTTATAGGTAGTGAGCCGGCGAGAGCAACATACTTATAGATCAACTGTAACAACACGAGTCCAGTTTGAGAACAAGTGGAGTGGTGCAAACAAGAGCATATCTCCGAACGAACGAAAACACGATCTCGATGGTCTGTGGCTATACTTACCCGTAAGTATACTCGGCCAGAGGCTAACATTTGAGATCAAGGTCAACGCGTCGCATAGCACAGGATTCCGGGTGAACGTGATGAATGTATTCAATTACCATCCGCGAGGTGACGGCGGCGAAAGACAACATAGGCATGCGGGCTGAGCACAGGTTTACACGGATAAAAGATAAAAGTAGCATTATAACGCTGTTATTAGCTTACTGTATAGGCCGTCTAGCTCAGCTGGTTAGAGCGTCGTGCTAATAACGCGAAGGTCTTGGGTTCGATCCCCACGATGGCCATGATCGAAACCTCCAAGTTTCTTTTGATCCACATGCGTCCATGGAATTGCTTCGTCTTGAGCCTTTCTGTTTTGCTGCGGGTCTCTATGCATATATTTCGTTCGAAATGAGATGTCTCTCAAGGGGCTATGTACGCGACTACTCTAGTTCTACATCATTTGCGAATTCGCCAAATGCGACCTGCACCATCGCTTCTGCCTCCCGGCTCTCCAACCAGCACGCCCGCACCTGCACACTCGACGCGAAGCACTTTAAACGCCTTTGCAGCCCCACCACCATGCCAAGGACCCAGCGTCTCGCGCAATCGGCCGGCGATGGCTTGACACCACGCCGAGAGATTGAACTCTTCCCCACCATAAAACTCAAGTTCTCTGTTTGTTATTCCCCGCGTCCCGTCACAACTTCTGTGGCCTGGCTACAAGTCTTGCAATAGACAAGTCCGCCTCGTAAAGGCTGGTCAAGACTAGCGTTTCGGTTGCGCGCCTAGCCCAACTCGTCGCTGCTTCTGTTCACAAGTTCATGGGAGTACGTACGCAACCTTTCTCCGCGGCCAACAATACTGATTGTTATCAATGTGCCACAGGAGGCTTCCGCCTCTGGTCCCACTTCAGGGTCGCCCGGCCAGTGGAGGATAGGTCTTCAACAAGGTCAGATCAACGTCCACGACGTGATTTTGTTGGGCATAGCTTTTGCAGCGGAAGGGGCCGCTATACCTCTCTTGCAGGTACGACCTGGGTTCGGTAAGCATTTCACCTTAAGCATGCTGTCCCAAAGCTTACCGGACTGTACAGTTTTCGCTCATTAGGGTCATCACCAGACTGGTATAGGTAAGGCTGGAGGAGACGTAACCTACTTACTCGAGTGGATACATAGAACGACAAACATTGTAGTTGTCGGTGTCAGTATCAATCATGTCCTTGAAACGCTCTCCGGCATGTGGTCATAGTAAATTCCTGTGAAGAAAGTCGATAACCTAAACGTAAGCCGATAATCTCCAGCTCACACGGAGACTGGCTTCGGACTGGCTTGCGAGTCGACAGCATGCGAGCCTACCCCGCAAGAGACACGAATATGAACAAACCAGAAATCGAGGGTATATCCATTCAGAAACCACGGTTATACGCTCCCGCCCACCCAGACGAGGAGGCCATGTACAGGAACATAATCAAAAGGAATGGGACGGCCAAGATGCGAGTACTAGTACACGGATCCGGCGAAGAAATAAGTAGCGCAGAACATAATGGAGGAGAGGCAAGGGACGCAGAACATGATGAAGATGGGGATGGAACATGTACATGTATAGACATACGATGGGCTTGTCGCAGACATAGATTCAATTCAACGCGGGGGTGGGCAGAAGTAGAGGGGGCAATGGAGGAGCCAGAAAAAGGATGGGCATTGTACAGACAGTGAAGAGTCAATGGGAAGAGCGAAACCGAAGTTGAACGAGATCGAGACTGAGAGCGCGCGAAGAGAGACCAGAACCGAAAAATAAGCTGAGAGCTGGACCTGCAGCAGAATACAATCAGCCAACAACTTCCGAAATACGGAGGCAACGTATAACGTACCGTCACGTCCTCTCCCAACCCCCCAAACCACCACCACCATCACCCCTATCACCATCTACGCATCCTCATTCAGAATCCCCCTCACACCTCCACTCTGCGTCCTCCCCCCATCTCTCCCCCGCCGATCGCTCATCTGCGGTACCCTCCTCTCCTCCCTCTCCTCCACATCCGCACTCGCACTCGGAAACGGCACAGGCACGCTCTTCTTCTTCTTCCCCTTCCCTTTCTCCTTCTCCTTCTCCCTACTCCCATCCTTCTCGCGTTCCTTCTTCGTCGCTCGCTCGGGATCGGTGCGTGACGAGGCCGAAGCAGACGAAGCGACCGAAGAAGTCGTAAACGTACTACTCTCGCTCGCCTGCCTCGTCGCGACTTTCACAACGCTAGGCGACCTCTCGGCCGGCCTCTCCGTCCTCTGTCTTCCCGGTCTCTCAGCCCTCTCCGGCCTAACATGATCATCCCTCCCTACACTCTTCTCGCCCGGCCTAACAGTCTCAACCCTCTCCCTCGGTTCCGGCCTCGTATACACAACCTCCCTCGGCGTAACAGGAACCCCAATCGAATCCTCATCAACGACCCACTCATCTTCCCCAATCAACTCCCCCTCATCATCGTCCAAAGGTCCATCCCTCGTACTCTCAAACGTCTCATTACTAATCTCCGAATAATCGCTCGGAACAGGTTTGATCTGTAAAGCTCGAAGATCGAATGAACCGCGAGCGCCGGCGCCGGGTGTTAAGGGGTCTATTAGAGAGTCGGAGGCGGAGGAGGCTGAAGAGTCGGCGCGGGCGGGGACTTCGACGAAGGAGCGGGGTCGACCTTCAGACGCGTCAAAGAAATCTCCATCGGCTTCGTCGTCGCTGTCTCCGTCTTCCCTCAAGACTTTCACGTCACCGCCAACTATCCGACAATCAACACTCCATATCCATATCAACATGAGAATTGGGACTTACCAGAGAGACCGTCGGGAGAATCAGGCTCGCTTAGACTCTCAAGTCCCATATCGCTATCGGCGTCACTAGGCCAGCTAGGCGGTTCATCTTGAACGCTGAATATCGCGCGATGCGTTTTGCCGAGCTAAAGCCCATTCCATCAGCAAGCCGCCCGTCTCTTTCTCTCTGAACATAAGCTAAAGACGTACCTCGACGACCCTCGCACGTAAATCCCTCCACTCCCTCTCATCCTTAACCAAGAATCCCAGAAGCATACTAGGATCCAACCCCGCAAGAGGCAACTTGCGTACTTTCTCGCAGCTGAACGTCCGGATCTACATTCGCCATCAGCACCGAGCGAGGGTTGGGGTTGAAGAGACGGGACATACCTCCTGAGCGCTATACGCCCCCACATAATGCTGCTGAACCCCATCCAAAGCCAACAAACTCGCCGAACTCCCAATCAAACTCCCACTCCCTTGCCCACCGCTCCCCACACTAACCTGCCCAGGACTTCCCGGCGCCGGTGCGGTAGTCCTCCACCTCGTATGCCCACCTCCCCCTTGACCAGCTCCATGATTGTTACTGGATGAAGAGTTGGAAGAGGACGTGGAAAGTTCTTTAGCCAGCGGACTAGCAGCATGCGCACGTCCGGGTGGAGGAGAAGTCGGACTACGCGTATGTCCCCTTCTCTCCCTCTCTTCTTCATCCCTCGAAACCGATGCTCGTACAGGCGTTTGAGGAGGACCCATATTTCCCCTTCCTTTGATAGGTATAGGCTCAGGCGATGAACTACCGCCCAAAGGCGGCGTAGACGGTCCATGAAGCGGCGGTGTACTCGGCGCTTGAGATGAGAAGGTGGCCTGGGGTGGAGGACGCAAAGGAACAGCCGGCCTCGCATGATGCGGATCGAGATAAAACAACGAGTCCGCTTGAGTTCCAACGAAGTAATAAGACGAGGAGGGTCTGCCGCCTGCGATCCCTACTGATTGGGGCCAAGTGAAGAGCGTCTAGTACCGCGAGTGAGCAAGAGGCGAAGTGTAGAGAGACACAGACAGAAGGATGGATGAAAAGGAGCGCACCTTGACGCTCTCATAATAAATCGGATTCACACCGTCCAACCCAAGCCTAAGTCCAACGAGCACGAGAACCGCACGTCCGCCCCACCTCGTCCTTTTCCTACAATAAACACGGCCACTAATCAGTACCTAATCCCTATTTGTGTTGTTGTTGTGTTGGTTACGCACCGATGGGAACTAACAGCCGCCCTCGGATCCCAACTAGCAGCGAACACGTCCGTCTGGAAAACTTGAGAGTCGACGGCTACGCATACACCGAGATGTGCGTCGGGGTACGCGTCCGTGAGCGTCCTAAAACACGAACACACAACAATTAATCAGCAAGGAGGGAGGAGGGAGGAGGGAGGAGGGATAGAGGGAGGAGGGAGAAGGATAGAGACGCACTTGAGCGCGCCCGCAGCTGTACTAGGCCCGAACCATTGTCCGACATCTTTACCGAGTTCTTTACCCGCTAACGCCATCCGGTGTACCCTACATACCCACCCATCAGCTATTGCCAGTTGGAGTAAAGGGGAGAGGGGGTACGCACGAGAATGGGCTTTGAGGCGTAGGAGCGTCCATGAACCAAGTCAAGATCTCCACATATCGAGCATACGCAGCCGTAGCCTGCGGACCCGCCGGTCTTCTCCAATCTACACCCACAAAAATCAGCACACGCCCTCAGTCACTCTGCAGGGTGGGGGGCGGGGAAGTTATGATATGGTAAGAGAAGGGGCTTACCGCGGCCGAGATGGAGATGAACGAGAGAATTAGCCAATAGACTCTGTCCCGTCCTTAACATACATCCCCATCCCGCATCGGAAGTCCATCCTCTTTCTCCGAAACCTGCCCATGCCCAGCGCGATTTGGATGGGGAGGAGGAGATTAGGGAGGCGTTATCGCTTCCTGACACTAAAAACCACATCAAGTTAATCAAATGCAATAGAGAGAGGAGGGAGGGAGAGGGAGGAGGAAAAGAACGTACTGTCCAAGGCGTGAAGAGTGGTATCGCGTATAGGCGGGAACTGACTCCGATAAGTCAACCATACCCGACTTGTGAAATCATTATAAAACTCCGGAGGCCATCCTTTACCCGCCTCTTCAAAGCCCAACTCCTCCCCTCCCTCACCTCCACCAGCATTCCTCCTATGATCTTTACTCTTCCTCCCTCCTCCACCAGGCGGCGTACTCCTACTCAAACTCGCCTCCTCGCGTTCCCTCTCCCGGCTCCCATTACTCCTGACGCTCGCAGCTTCCACACTGATCGAACTTCTACGGCCCGAAGTCGACGAGGAAGGCGAGTGGTTGGGACTGGGGGTGAAGCCTGGATGTTCGACTCCGAGAACCCAGATGGGTGATGTACATCTATCAGGCGCTGCATCGGTATCGAGTATATACCTCATAGCGCGATCCAAATGACCCTTCCCCGTTCTCGCGGCCGTTAA